CCACCACAGCATCCCACCAGAGTCCCACCATAGCGTCCCATCATGGTGTCCCACCAGGGCGTCCCGCTTCTCTCCTCCAGGGGCTGGGGGCCTGGGCTGGGCTCTGGGAACCCTGTCCTCAGTGCTGCTCCCCAGGTGCGCACGAGCAGGAAGCCAGGGTCGGAGCAGAGCAGGAAGCCAGGGTCGGAGCGGAGCGGGGGGCCAGGGTCGGAGCGGAGCGGGGGGCCAGGGTCGGAGCGGAGCGGGGGGCCAGGGTCGGAGCGGAGCGGGGAGCCAGGGTCCGGAGCGGAGCGGGGCTGCACCCGGCCCTCTGAGGAGCAGGAGCTCAACCCCAGTCCAGTGCCCTCCAGGAAATGCATATGAATCAATTAAAAAAAAAAAAAACCGCAGTGACACCATCGCTGGCAGGACTGAGGGCCCGCCCAGCCCTGTCTGCTAGCTCACCTGACCCTGACCTGGGCGGGTGCCTGGGGGTGGGGGCGGAGGGCGAAGTCCTGCATGCATTAGGGCGCTGCCTCCAGGAAGGCTCTGAGGCTCCTCCTGGCACCCCCACCCCGGGGCACCGCAGGGGTTAACACCCGCGGCTCCCTGACCAGGGCAGGTCACCTGGACGGCAGCCCAGCTGGCCTCAGTTCTCCGACCCAGGTCCAGGTGGGTGGAGGCTGGGGCGGCGCGTGGCAGGCGCCCGGCGGACATTCAGTGTGAGCTTCCTCCGGCTGCTGGCACACGGGCACCACCAGGTGAGGGCTCTGCGGGGGCTGTGCAGGTCCGAGGGGGGCTCTGGGTGTAGGGCATCGGCCCCACCCTCTGCTTGCTTACCTGCGGGCTTAGCGGAGGGGTCTCAGGAGCTGCGTCACCTGGAGGCGGCGTCCTGTGTCCCTGGCCGCTTCCTGTCACCTGTTTGTCCCTGCAGCCGGATGCTGGTTAGGAATACAGGCCCAGACCCTGCCTTCCCTCCCACCCTGGGCCCCTGCCCCCGACGCACACGCAGAGGGTTGCCCTGAGCACACTCAGGCAGAGCCCCGGCATGGGACCCCGCCTTCCGGGGGGGACACCAGATATGTCCCAGCCCCAGATTCTCCAGTGCTCACGACTCAGAGCAGCGCCCCGGGCGAGCAGGGCTGGACACAGCTGCTGGTGACCGCTGGGGTGGTCTGGGGCTGAGACTCCTCGCGGAGAGGATGTGGGCGCCGCAGCTACGGAGCTGGACGCTGGGCTGGGACCCGGCCAGCGGCACGCCTGCGTCAGCCTGGGCCAGCTGCCCAGCACCTTCTGGGGCCAAAATCGCATCAGAGAGCTCCCAGCCAGGCTTCCGGAGGGAGACCGGCCACCGCACGCGGGCGTCTCCCAGGGACAGCAGCCTCACGCTCGGTGACACGTGGGGCCCTGCCACGGGACAGCTGGCGGTGGGGGCCTCGTGTGTTCAGTCCGGAGCCGGGGCTCCTCCTGTGTGTGGGGGGGAGCAGGGACATGAGGGTAGCGGGGGGCTGCTCCAGGGAGCTCCACGCATCCAATTAGAAAGGGGCCATCCTGCATCCTGTGGAGCTGTGTCCCGCTGCCCAGCCCCCCTTACCTCTGAGGGTCAGGGCATGGTCCTTGGCCTTGGCCTGGCACTGTCTGAGCCCCAGGGATGTGTCTGGGGCCCGTTGTACCCCCAGGAGACTGAAGTGCACCCGGGCCCCTGCTCCGGCTCTGCGGCAACACCCACACCCCACAATCAGAGGGCGAGTCGGGGCCGAGTCGGGGTCCTGTCGGCTCCACTCCGATCCCGCTTCCTGCTAACGCGTCCTGACACCAGTGCTTGGGCCCTGGCTGTGGAAGGCATCCGGGGAGTGAACCAGTGGATGGAAGGCCTCTCTGCCTTTCACGTAGATGGAAACACACACACACACACACACACACACACACACACACCAGATAACCAAAGGCCCTGCCTGCCTGCCTGCCTGCCTGTTGGGGGCAAGTGGAGTCAGGGTGCCCGTGGCTCCCCGCAGGAGCCCGCCCGGCCCGCCATGGGGCTGTCCTGGAAGGAGAAGGTCTTCACGGCACTGCTGGCGGCCGCAGCGGTCTCGGGCCTCACCACGCTTGTTCTCATCCTGGTGGAAGCCACCAACGTCCTCCTGCCTGCAGGCACCAAGGTGCGCCAGGACGCCAGGCCGGGGAGGCCGGGCCGGGCCAGGCTGCAGGGCGCCAGCCCCCGGGCCCTCCTAACCCCAGCTCTGCCCCCAGTTCGGGATGGTGTTCGACGCCGGCTCCTCTCACACGTCGCTCTTCGTGTATCAGTGGCCAGCAGACAAGGAGAACAACACAGGCGTGGTCAGCCAGGCGCTGGCCTGCCAGGTGGAAGGTGGGGGCACTTCCGTCCGAGGGCTCAGGGCTTGCCTGTCGCCGCCTGGCGGGGACCCTGGAGCTGGGTGTTGGGAGCGGCACAGCCTCAAGGGCCTGCCTGGTGCCGGGAGCGCCCGTGTGGCTGGCTCTGGTTTGAACCAGCACAGCCCTGGGTCCGTGCCCAGTCCCGGCTAGGGCCTGCAGAGCCCTGCCTCTGCCCCTAACCCTCACGCAACTTGGGTTCCGGGGGCTCCGGCAACTCAGGAGCAGGCTGTTCCTCACAGGCCCTGAGGGTGGGCGGCCCGGGGCCAGGCCGGCCCCTCCTGCCTCTTGTCTCTGGGGGCTCCAGGCCACAGGGACAGTCTCTGCTAGCTTTAGGGAATCCAGGAGGCTTAACCATGCCTGTCCCCAAGGCAGGGGACGTCTGGGGGCCTGAGCCGAGCCCTGGACGCTGCCTCTCCAGGGCCTGGGATCTCCTCCTACGCCACCGACCCCACAGCGGCGGGCGAGAGCCTGCGGGGCTGCCTGGAGAAGGCACTGGCACGGATCCCGGAGGCCCAGCTGCGGGAGACGCCCCTGTTCCTGGGGGCCACGGCGGGCATGAGGCTGCTCAGGTGAGGCTGCCGCTGAGGCCGGTGGCGGGGGCTGCGCCTGGGCGCCAGCCAGCCCGGCCCCCTCCTGTCCCTCTCTGCCCAGCCAGAAGAACAGCTCTCAGGCCAGGGACGTCTTCGCGGCGGTGTCCCGGGTCCTGGGCCGGACCCCTGTGGATTTCCAGGGCGCCGAGCTGCTGGCAGGGCGAGACGAAGGCGCCTTTGGCTGGATCACCATCAACTACGTCCTGGGCATGCTGGTGGAGGTGCAGCAGCTGTCCACGGGGCGGGGCCTGTGCTGGGGGCGGGGGCGGGGCGGCCGCCTGGCCGGGGGCTGACTATCCCGTGTGTGGCCAGTACTCCTCTGCTGGGAAGTGGATCCGGCCCCCGGAGGGGACGCTGGTGGGCGCCCTGGACCTGGGCGGGGCCTCCAGCCAGATAAGCTTCGTGCCCGAGGGCCCGGTGCTGGACACGAGCACTCAGGCCTCCTTCCGCCTGTACGGCTCCACATACAGCATCTACACTCACAGCCACCTGTGCTTTGGGCGCGACCAGGTGCTCCTCCGGCTGCTGGCGGGGCTGGCGCAGGTCAGGCCTCCTGCCGGGGGCGCCCGGGCGGGGGGGAGGGGGCGCCACGCCGGCTGGTGCTCCAGGCCACCCCCCCTCCCTGCAGAGAAGCCCGGCTGGCCCGCTCCGCCACCCATGCTACCACAGCGGCTACTGGGCCACGCTGGCCCCGGGCGCCCTGTACGAGTCTCCGTGCGTGCACAGCACGGCCCCCCGGAACCTGACCCAGAACCTCACGGTGGAAGGCACGGGCGACCCTGGGGCCTGCACGGAAGCCATCCGGGAGCTCTTCAACTTCTCCAGCTGCAAGGGCCAAGTGGACTGCGCCTTTGATGGGGTCTACCAGCCCCCCGTGCGAGGCCCCTTCTACGTGAGCGCCCAGGCCCCCGGCTTCCCCGCAGGGCCCCGGCTGGCTCTCAGTGGGCCGGGCCGCACACGTGTCTCCTCTCCCGCCCCCAGGCCTTCTCCAACTTCTACTACACCTTCCACTTCCTGAACCTCACCTCCAGACAGCCGCTGGGCACCGCCAACGCCACCATCTGGGAGTTCTGCCGGAGGCCCTGGAAGCTGGTGGGTGGACCCAGGGTGGCCCGGCCCCCACTTCCCGGAGGCGCTCAGCCTCGGCGGGGTTCTGGCAGGAGCCGTGGGAGGGAGGAGTCCCCTTGACCGTCCTGCTGATGAGCCAGCCTCCGGTTCAGCCGTGCCGGGGGCCGCTGCTGGCTGGCGTGGGGACAGCCGTCTCTCCCCTGACGGAGCCCTGCGCTGGCAGCCACGGGATGGGCTCGGCTGGGGTGGGCGCTGGGCGGCCCGGACCCTCACCCTGCCCCTTGGCTGCCGGGGCCAGGTGGAGAACAGCTACCCAGGGCAGGAACGCTGGCTTCGGGACTACTGTGCCTCGGGTCTGTACATCCTCACGCTCCTGCTGGAGGGCTACGGGTTCAGCGAGGAGACCTGGTCCAACATCGAGTTCCGGGGGCAGGTGAGTGCCTCCCCGGTCCCGGCCTCTGCCCCAGGTGAGGCGGGCGGAGCGCCTGAGCAGCCGCGTGTCCCGCAGGCCGGCGGCACTGACATCGGCTGGACGCTGGGGTACATGCTGAACCTGACCGGCCTGATCCCGGCCGAGGCGCCGGCCCAGTGGCGGGCACAGAGCTACGGCGTCTGGGTGGCCGGAGTGGTGTTTGTGGTGCTGACCCTCTCGGCCATCCTCGGGGCTGTCGCCGTGCAGCTCCTCTGGCCCCATGACTAGTGGGCACCCCTGACGCTGGCGGCCCTGCTCTGGCTACAAGAGGCTGGTGGCCGCCTGTGGCCCCCGCCCCCTCCCAGACCTTCCCAGGGCAGCAGGGTCTTTCTGCACAAACCCAGGCCGCCCGGACCCCCGAGGGCGCCCAGCCGAAGCATGGGGAGTGGGAGTAGGTTGGGCAGGGGAAGGCCGGCCAGCTGGGCACCTGGCTGTCCCCGGCCATCAGCAGCCCCTCCCACCCTCTCAGTCGCCAAGCCCAGGACTCGGACGTGTGGTGTGGGGGTGGGGGAGTTTTATTAAAGCTGCTCTCGCCGCAAGGTGTCTGGGCGTGGCTTCCCGGGGCTCACAGGCGCCCGCCAGCCGGGGCCACGAAGCACTTGGGGAAGATGCCGATGTGGCCCTCGCGGTGCCCCTCCAGCCAGGCCTCGTCCACTGCAGGGGAAGCCACAGCTCCAGTCCCCGGCCGAGTCCCCGGGGGCCCCAGGGTGGGAGGGGTGGTGCGTGCCCCACCTTCACACAGGACGTCCACCGTGTCCCCCGGCTGGAGGTCCAAGTCCTCGGGCCCCTGGGCTGCGTAGCGGTGCTGGGCCACCACCTGGTAGAGGATGGGCCGGCCCCCAGCCCCCTGCGGCAGAGGCTGGGCTGAGGCAGCAGGCACAGCGGGGGGCTCCCGGCCCCTGCCGCCCCCGCTCGGCTTACCCTGCACTGGAGCTGCAGCCCCCTGCGGCCGGACACCTGCCACGCCCTCTGCAGCGACTCCTCCCCGTAGATGGGCACCCAGGACCCCGCGTCGCCTGGGGCTTGGCAACTGCAGAGAGCAGCCTCGGGGTCAGCAGGGTAGGCGCTGACCTCTGACCCTGCCACACACCCAGCACCTGCTGCCTGGCCAGCTCCATCCCTGCCTCAGACCAGCCCTCCAGCCCCACGGCAGGGGGTCTTTCTGGCCCACCTGAGCTGCCCCAGCTGGGCCTGGTGAGGGAGGGCCTGGGCCAGCAGGGCCCGCAGGCTGGACAGGTTGGCTCCTCGTCGGGCCCTCAGCGCCACGGTGAACGCACACTGCACGGTGACCGTCACCAGGGACTCGGGGTCTCCCACAGCCGCACCCTGGAGCCAGGCAGAAGAGCAGGATCTGCTCCAGGGAGCACCCAGGAGGGGGTGGGAGTGGCCGGGGCTGACCACTGGACGGTGGGCTGACCGGGGCACGGCGCCTCTCACCCCAGACCCTCGCGGTTCTCAGGTGACCGTAGCCCAGCAGGACAGGAGCAAGGCCCAGCTGGCCACCCGCCTGCCTTGTCCCAGGCACCTCCTGGGGACTGCTTCCCCCAAGCACCCCTGCCCAGGATTCCCTTACCTGGAGACGGAGGAGCCTCTTGGCCCACCTGGGGCCCTGCTCTGTCCTGGCAGAGCCGCCGGCAGCCAGGCCCCTCTGGGGACAGGGCTGGGTCCCTGCAGGCCACCGCGAGGCGGCTCCCCACCACCCCACACCAGGAGGCTGACTCAGCGGGAGGCCAGGAGTGGGAGGCGGCACCTGGGGTGTTCAGACGCGAGCTCACTGGCTCACCAGGCCCGGGGGGCCAAGCGCTTCAAGTGCCACCCCCGGGGGCAGCTGCGTGGCCCAGTGGGTTAGCCCTCCACTCGGAATGTCCACATCTCAGCTCCGAGTGCTGGCTCCAGTCCTGGCTGCTGCACTTCTCATCCGGCTCCTGCTAAGGCGCCCAGCAGGCCGCAGGTGGTGGCGCAAGTGCGTGGGCGCCTGCACCCACGTGAGACCTGGATGGAGCTCCGGGCTCCAGCTGCAGCCGGGTCGGCACCAGCCATGGCGGCTGTTTGGGGAGTGAACCAGTGTCTGGAAGATCTCTCTCTCCCTCTCTGTCACTCTGCCTTTCAAATACATAAATAAATCTTCAAAAACAAATAAATAAGCTTAAAAAAACCACCATGAGGTGTGGAAATGCGCTCCACGTGGGGCGCTGCCCTGGGCGCGTGGAAGCTGCTTCCCAGGACACTGACCGTCCAGCTGGAAGAGGAGTCTTCTGACCATGGCCTTCGGGGTGTCATGGGCGGCCCCGCCCGCCGGCCTCCCTCCTCAGCCGCCCCCAGGCTCGGGGAGTCTCTGGGGGTCTCCAGGGACAGAGGCCTCCGCTTCCTGTCCTGTCCCCAGGCTGTCACTCCTGGGGGCCTGGAGGAGCCACAGGCACCACTGCCGCCCTGCCCGTCGCCACCTACCCGCCCAGGGCCAGCACAGCCTGGCGCCTCCAGATGGGTGCCCGCGTCCAGGGGCAGACCCCAGCCCCGCCCTGGGGGGGCCTTGTCGGTGCTCACCCCCTCCTCCCACACAGGCACCCTGCACCTGCGCTCCTCACCTGCTCCTGGCGGGTCGGAGCCGAGCCCTGGTCAGCCCGCCCCGCTGGGCTGGGGCTGGCCCCCGAGTCCGCATCTGTGGGGCCGTGGCAGGCAGCGGCTCTGGGGGGCTCTGTGACTCGGGCCCTGGGGGAGGAGCAGACCCCTGTTCTGAGACTGTCCCAGCTTTGGGGTCCAGGGCCCTGCGGCAGCCCGCCCAAGCCTCTCGTCCGAGCCGGGGGGAGGGACCTGCTCTGCCCAGAGCCGTCTGTTCAACTCGCCCCACCTGGCCGGTGGCGTCACAGTCACACCCAGCAGTGTCCCCTCCCTGGGCAGCTCGGCTCGAGCCCCTGCGCCCTGCTGTGTGCCGCCTGGAGTCTCAACTCCCCTCCCGTGCCCCCCGAGGCCTGGATCCGGCAGCCCCCGAGGGGCACTTTCTGGGAGGTGGGGATGTGGGGAGTGGGCCAGGAGGAGCTGGACTCCCCTCCTTGGCAGTATCTGGGTGCAGTGGTCAAGTCCCCTGGCCGGGCGTGGTGACTCCCGGAGAGCCCAGGGCTGGAGTCCAGGCCTCGCGGGCAGGCCTGCCCCTTCCTACCGTGGGGAAGCCCTGGCGCTGGCTTCACCGTCCGCTCCCAGTCCCTGTGGGCACAAAGTGACAGCGGCAGTGAGCGCCCCCCCATCCTAAAGCAATGTGGGCGACTCCCCGCTGCTCACAGCCCCCCCTTCCCGTCCAGCAGGTCTGGGGCCTCCGAGGAGGGCTCACGGTGGCCACAGCTTTCTCTTTCCTTAGCAGGTGAGGACCCACCTCCGGCCGCTGAGGCTGGACGTCCGGGCGAGGCTCCTCGTCAGAGGCCACCACCTGGGGGGCAGCAGGGGCAGCTGGTCAGGGGCGCCTCGGGGGGCTGGGGTCTGAGAAAGGACCACGTGCCTGCTGGTGGCCCGGCTGGACACCACGTGGCACTCGGACACAGCCCGGGCGTGAATGCCACGGCAGGTGGCCCGCGTGCGCAGCAGGCCCAAGGCTCCCGGGGAGCCCTGTGGCGGGGGGGCAACTGCTCCCAGTGACTTCTGTGGCACCCAGGCCTGGGGCAACACGGGTGTGGCGCGGCCCAGGCTGGCAGGGCCTCTGCCCTCGCTGGGACCTCCCTGTGTGCGGCGGGGACACGGGGAGACACCAGGGCCCAGGAGAGCGCGGCCAGGCCGAGGCAAGGAGGGGCCCCTCCAGGTTCACAGCCAACATTTGGGGCCCGCCCTCAACCCCTGGGAACAGGTAAAAGAACAGCCAGGTGCCCACGTGTGTCCTGGGGGCAGGCGTGGGGACAGCTAGGTACCCACGTGTGTCCCAGGGCAGGTATGAAGATGGCCAGATGTCCACATGTGTCCCAGGGCAGGTGTGAGGACGGCCGGGTGCCCACATGTGTCCCGGGGCAGGTGTGAGGACGGCCAGGTGCCCACGTGTGTCCCGGGGCAGGTGTGAGGACGGCCAGGTGCCCACGTGTGTCCCGGGGCAGGTGTGAGGACGGCCATGTGTCCACGTGTGTCCCGGGGCAGGTGTGAGGACGGCCGGGTGCCCACGTGTGTCCCGGGGCAGGTGTGAGGACGGCCGGGTGCCGTGAGGGCCGCCTGCCCCCTGTACCTTGGCCTTGCCCAGGAAGTCCACGGGCTCCAGGTGCTCCAGGTGCCGCCTGTGGGGCCGGAAGACCTCACCCCTGGGGACCTGCCTCGGCTGCAGGGGCGTCTGCTTCTGCGAGGGGGGTGTGGAGCTGACGCAGGCCACACCTGCCCTCCTCCCCTGCACCCTCCCCTCATCCTGTCTCCTCCCCTTCCCCTCCTTCTCACTCCTCACCTGCCCTCCTCCCCTCCCCTGCACGCCACACCTGCCCTCCTCCTCCCCTCCCCTGCATGCCATACCTGCCCCTCCTGCCCTCCCCTGCACACATCTGCCCTCCTCCCCTCCCCTGCACACCACACCTGCCCTCCTCCTCCCCTCCCCTGCACACCACACCTGCCCTCCTCCTCCCCTCCCCTGCACACCACACCTGCCCTCCTCCTCCTCTCCCCTGCACATCACACCTGCCCTCCTCCCCTCCCCTGCACGCTACACCTGCCCCTCCTCCTGTCCCCTCCCCTGCACACCACACCTGTCCCTCCTGCCCTCCCCTGCACACCACACCTGCCCTCCTCCTCCTCTCCCCTGCATGCCATACCTGCCCCTCCTGCCCTCCCCTGCACACCACACCTGCCCTCCTCCTCCCCTCCCCTGCATGCCATACCTGCCCCTCCTCCCCCACCCTGCACACCACACCTGTCCCTCCTCCTCCCCTGCACACACCTGCCCTCCTCCTGTCCCCTCCCCTGCACACCACACCTGCCCTCCTCCTGCCCCCTTCCCTGCACACCACACCCACCCCTCTTCCTCTCCCCTGCATGCCCTCCTCCCTTGCCCCCTCCCCTCTCCGTCCCCTCCCCGACACTCCTCACCTGCACCTGGTCCAAGGCAGTGTCCAGACCGCTGTGGGCACCCTCTGGCCACTTGGACACGGCCTCCCTTAGGCTGCTGGCAGCCTCACTCCAGAGGCCCAGCTGGCTCTGAGCGGCCGCCACATTGTAGAGCACCTGGGAGTGAGGTCCGCGGACGTCAGGGACCAGGGCCCACAGCTGCTGTCACGAGGGCAGCTCTGGGTGTCCAGCTCCCATGGGTGCTGTGGGCGCAGATCAACTGAGAGCAGCTGGGGCATGCTGGGAGGACCCCCCGGGCGCTCTCCTGCTGAGCCAGAGGCCACTCTGTGGCACATCCCCTGGCCATGTCACCAGCTGGCCCATGGCCATGCCCCTGCCCCCAGGGGTCGTGTGTCCCTGGGCCCTACAGGGAGGGAGTTTCATGGCCAAGCTGGACTGAGCCGGGGTCACTGGGGCCCTGGTGACAGGCAGGCCTCCCACAGCCATTTGGTGGCCAGCGTCCTCTGGGGACCTGCAGCAGGGCTCTGGGGGGCCTCGGCCAAGCCGCCCTCACCCTGACCTCTGGGCACCCCTGGGTGGGCACTGGCCCTGGCTTCCAGAACCCCCCAGGCTTTGCCTTGTCTTTCCAAGAGGCTGCAATGCAGGAGTTCCCCGGAGGGTGAGGGTCCTCCCAAGTCCCCTCCCTCAGTGCCACGCTGTTCCGGGAAGCAGCTGGGCCCGGAGCCCCGCCCCACCCTCCCCTCCCTGCTCCCTGGCCCGGCCCTGCCCTTTACCCGCAGACCCAGTCCTGGTCGCACCTGCCTGCTGCCTGCACCTCCTGGGGTGCAGCGCCCGCCTCAGGCCAGGGGGGCCCTCAGAGCACCTTCCCCCACCACACAGCGGCGGCCACGAGCCCGCGAGCCCAGGGCCAGCGCACCTCCCAGGCCAGCCCGCCTCCCAGGCCAGTGTACCTCCCAGGCCTGCTCACCTCCCAGGCCAGTGTACCTCCCAGGCCTGCTCACCTCCCAGGCCAGCACGCCTCCCAGGCCTGCTCACCTCCCAGGCCTGCAGCCTGAACCGCAGGCCCAGCTGCGTGTAGTCAATGGTAGGGTTGCCCCTGAGCTGCACCAGGGCCAGCCGGAAGTCGGACAGGGCCTCCTGGAACCTGCGGGCGGCAGTGTGCCCTCAGCAGTCCCCGGGGAGGGTGAGCTGGGTCAGGGGCTCCCACCCCCGCTCTGGGCCCCTGCTGGAGGGTGGCCGTGGTCACCTGGGCCCCAGCACTCAGTGGACACTCCAGTGGGGTGAAGTGGGTCGAGGGTTGTGACGCGAACGGGCAGCGGGATGTGTGGTCCCGGGTTCCTGCCCGGCTCCCACCCTGGGGCCCGGTCTGCACCCCGACTCCGCCTCCTGGAACCGCCACCCTCCGAACTCCGAGCTTCCTCTCACCCTGGCCCCGCCCCCTGCCCCGGGCAGCAGATGGGGATGCCCCAGGGCCTGCCCGGGCCCACATGCTTCCTCCAGGACCGGCCACTCCTCCAGCCCTGCCCCAGCCACACCCACAAGACGGGCACCGCCTCGCCATCCCTGCGGACGCAGACGAGGCAAGGCCCGAGGGCAGAGACGCCACCAGCAGAGGCGGGGGGCCAGACCCCTGTGCTTACCTCTTCAGCTGGAAACTGGCCACGCCTCGCTGCAGGAAGCCAACGGCCAGGCAGGCGTCCTTGGTCACCGCTTGATCGAAAGCCTGGTGACAGAATGCGCGTGGCTGAGGCCTGGAACCTGGTCTCAGATGCCACAGCCATGCCCAGAAATCCAGGAGGGCCATGAGCCGTCTGCACCTGCCCGGGGGCCTTCACAGCTGGTCCCCTGTGGCCACACCCCGGCTGCCCAGTGTGGAGCCCCAAGGTGGTGCCAAAGCCTCGAGGAGAGAGGAGCTGGAAGGGGCTTCCTCCAGGGCCCTCGACAGCCCACACTCAGCTGCACGGGCACCATGGGACCGAGGGGGCACCGCATCTCAGGCAACGGCCTGCGCTCCCCCAGGGGACAGCAGCCACCAGTTAAATATGGACCATGGCTGGGGGAGGGGCTGGGGTCTCGCTCTAGCAGAGCTGGCTGAGCCCATGGCTCCCCTGCCGCGCCCAGCGTCACAGGGCATGGGACGCAAGGGTCACACAGCCGCCACCCGCTTCTCACAGTTTCCCTGTTTCTAACGACAGGCTGTCAGTCAACTTTACGAGGGCAGACGAGAACCGACAGGGCCCAGGTAGAGCCCGGCTGCGGGAAGTGGTGACTCACCCTGGATGCCTGCTGCCCCCGGGATAGCCCACGTCAGTGGGACTTGTGGGTGGGCAGCTGGAGGATGAAGGGGTGACAGAGGGGTCCCTGCTGGGCCGGGCCCGGGTTTCCCCGGGGCATTTGCAGGATGTGGGTGCGGGGAACGTGTGGCTGGAACCCTCCTCCCCTGCAGGTGACCGCCCGGGGACAGTGGGGCCTGAGTCACCGGCAGGGCGCCCCAGCTTTGGTCACCACTGTGTCCACGCACGGGGTGATGGACAAGACACATCTGGAAGGGCACGGGCAGCTGTGGCTGCCACCCCCGCCCCCACCGAGGCTGAGCTCCCGCTCTGTTGGAGAGGCAGGTGTGCTGGCGGGGGGGGGGGGGGACTTCGACTGCCCATCACGGCCTCTGCCAAGCTCTTGCCCCGTCTGCCCGCGGCCACCTGACCCGAGGAGGGAGCACGCCCACACCTCAGCCGCCCTCAGCGCAGCCCCCGCCTGCCTCAGGCGCCCCCCACCCCCAGGAAGACGCCTGCAGAGGATCTACCGGGAAGAAGGGCTTCGCGTCCCTCTCCCACGCCCCCGTGAGACTGCCCCAGGGACGGGGTCTCTGCCAGCAGCCCCGGGCGCCCATGACCCGGCTCACCCGCAGCGCAGCCTCGGGGTCCCCGGCCAGCAGGTGCACGCAGCCCACGTTGAAGCTCATCCTGGCGGCAGGCCCTGGGACCTCCGAGAAGAGGCGCAAGGCGCCGGGCCAGTCCCCGCGCGCCACGGCTTGCACGCCCCGGTGCCAGGTGCGCACCTGGTCCCCGAGCGAGGACATGGCGACACTGCACCTGCGGCTCAGGTAGGTGCTCCAGCCCGGGCGCGCAGGGCGTGACCGCGGCACGACCGAGGGAGGGGCCCGGCGGCCCAGCAAGGCCGGCAGACGGCCGGGGGCCTGTGGGGGCGCGGGCCTCGCCTGTGCAGTCGCCCCCTGCTGGCAGGCAGCGTCCGGTCCCGAGCCTGACCACGGCCCGGCCCCAGGCAGCCCCGCCCACTCCGCCCCAGCCGGCCCCGCCCAACGCCGCAGGCCCCGCCCGCCTCGGCTCTGGACACACCCCCAGGCCCGCCCGCCCCTGACGGAGCTCCACGCGCTCCCGCGGCGCGGCGCGTTCTCGTGGGCGTCTGTGCGCGGGGAAAAGGCGTGCGGACCCGCGGCTGCCCTTTGGCCGAGGTTCCAGCCTTAGAGTGGACGGCGCGCGGCTCCCTCAGGGGCGGTTCCGGGGCGGCTGGACCCCGAGGCCGAGGCGCGGGCGCCCTCCGCGGTGGACAGCGAGCCCAGCGGCTTCCCCCGAGCCCGCCGTGCGGGCCCCGCGCGGGACACCGGGCCTCAGGGCGGCTGCGTCCCGGTCGCCGCGCTCTGCCACGGCGGGTCCTCCGAGCCGCGCTCGAGGCGGGCTGGCGATTTCCCGCTGAGGACGAGGAGAGGCCGGGGACGGGGCACCGCGGGGCCGCGCCCTGCAGGAATACTTGAAAATTACTGTTACTGCCGCCAGAGTCGGAGAGCGCGCGCCCTCGTGGCTCGCGACAGCCCGGGTTGGGCCGCGGGAGCCCCCGCCGCACCTGCCCCCCCCCCCCCGCAGGCGCCCGCGGGAAGCTGGACGGGGACTGGGCCTGCGCTGCGGGCTGTGGGCCTGAGGATGCGAGCTTGCAAAGCTGGTGGCTTCATCCGTCAGCCTGTCAGCCGTCAGCCAGCCACCAGACAGCCGTCAGCCAGCCGTCAGCCTGTCAGCCATCAGTCAGCCCGTCAGCCATCAGTCAGCCATCAGTCTGGCAGTCATCGCCGTCAGTCAGCCCGTCAGTCGTTGCCAGGCGACAGCTCACAGGCGATGAGAGCCAGCCCTGCAGAGCTGCTGTGCAGTCAGTGAGATAACCCAGCCCCCCCAGCCCTATGTCCCCCCCACAGACCCCCCCAGTCCTGCTCCCGGCCACGGGTTCCCCACGTCTGCTCCCGCCGCCCCCCACAGCTGGTCCTGTCCACCCAGGGCCCGGGGCTGCCCGTGCTCCCTCTGGCGGTGTGGCGGGGCGCCGGTGCTGGCATCTCCTATGGGCACTGGTTCCAGTCCCGGCTGCTCCACTTCCGGTCCAGCTCTCTGCTGTGGCCTGGGAAGGCAGCGGAGGATGGCCGAGTGCTTGTGCCCTGCACCCGCGTGGGAGACCTGGAGGAAAAAAAGAGACCTTCCATCTGCGCTTTCACCGCCCAAATGGCCACAGCAGGCAGGGCGGGGCCAGGCCACAGCCAGGAGCCAGGAGCTCCATCCGGTCCTTGCAACCTGCTGCGCCACAGAGCCGGCCCCAGGGCATGGTTTTCAGGAGTGTTTATGGTTCTTCCATTTCTACACTCTGCTGTAGGAGTCGGAGGCCCTTCGTAAGAACAGGTACCATGGGGCTGGTGGCGCTAGCCTGTCTGTGGGTGACCCACCCGGCCTGGGCCACCCGGCACGGTGCCAGGAAGGGTCCGCCACAGCCTGGTCCTGGTCCATTCCTTTGCCATGGGGTCTGGCGCGGCTCCCGGCCCGGTGATGGCGCTCACAGGGAAGCAGGACGCAAAGAGGAGCTGGAGCCAGGGCTGGAGCCAGCGCGGCTACCTCGTGCGCCCGGGGGGTGGCCGGGGGCGGCCGAAGACGGCCCAGGTGCTGGGGCCCAGCACCCACACGGGGGACCCAGAAGAAGCTCCTGGCTTCAGCCTGGCCCAGTTATCCTTCAACATGTGATGGCTGCTTGTCTGTCCGACTGGAACTCGGACTCGTGTACGAGGTAGATTTTATGTTTTGAATGATCCCAATAAAGCCATAAAAAACAGTGCAGTGCCTGCTGCAGTATCGCGTGCAGGCTGAAAGCCAGGCGGGCAGTGCCGGGAGGGGCCTGGGCGCCCCCTGGCCCAGGGTCACTGGAGAAGTCGCCGGGGTGCCCACCCTGCTACACCTGCAGTGAGACTGGCGGGGTGAGTGCCGGCTTGTGGGGCACACGGCCTGAGGCCGGGCTGCGGCCCCTGCACCCGGCGCCCCGCTGTGCCTCGAGGGAGCCCAGTGTGATTTCGCCTTTCCTACCAGGCACAGTGGCAAGACAAATGTGCTAATTTGAGTAATGTGTGTTATTCACCAAGCATCCTCCAAGCGTGTCATCTCCAGGTGCAATTGGCAACAGGAAAATCGATGGGCAGACATCCTGCTCGGCTTGTCCTGTCTGCGTCCGTACTGGGAGGGCTGGGGGCAGAGGGCACGGAAGGCAGGAGGGGCGGGCTCTGGGTGTCGGGGGCCTTCCCATGGGGACCTGGGGCCTCCAGGGCTTGGAAGCCAGCGTCGCCCAGCCAGCCGTGGCCTGTTCTGTGTCACGGGCGGTGCCTGCGGGCCCTTGTGAACTGGGCAGGGCTGTGAGATGCCCTCAAGTGGGGCTCATGGGGCTGGGGGGCCGCGGCCCTCACGCCTTTGATCCCAGAGTGTCCCCCGGGGCCCTGCCCGCCTCCGGGCTGCACCTGCTGGGTGCGGGGTGCACCTGCAGGGCCGAGCCAGGGCTTGGAGGAAGCAGCGGGGCTGCAGCAGCACTCCGGGCTCAGCAGGCTCGGCTGCTCCCCGGGGGCACCGTCGGACGCTGGGCCGGACCCCCCGCGGCCACTTCGACCCTGGGTCTGGCCGCAGTGCGGTTCCTCACGTGCCTGCGGCCCTGCCTGCCCGGAGTCTTGTGCGGGCGCCCTCCTGGCTGGTGGTGTTTCCCACCCACCCGGGGGCTGGGGCGGCCCTGCCCCTCCCATGAGGCTCCTGAGAGGCTGTGAGTCCTGGGTTTGGGCCTGGGTCTCGGAGGAGCGGCTGCTGGCTGGGTGAGCAGCCCCAGCCCTGGGGTGGGGGAGTGTTGCCCCTCTCCTGTGCCTTCCCCTTCTAGGCCACAGATGGGCAAGGGGCCAGCGCTGCGTTCCTGGGCTCCTACTCTCTGCCCGCTCCTGGCTTATCCCGGCCTGCCACCCAGTTCACGTGCCAGGCGGGGGCTAAGACCCGAACCTGGGCTGTGCAGGGCTGGGGTCCTGGGCGCCTGTCTGAGACCCACTCAAGCCGGACCCAAGTAACCACAGCCAGCACTGGCAGTGGCCACGGATGGAAGGCCAGGGGCTGGGACTCGGAGCACAGGTGCCTCCCACACCCCTGTCCAGGCCCAGAGGGAAAGAAGATGGCCGCTGCCTCTTCCCGCGGCCCCGGCTGCTGGCCTCACCACCCCCACCCGCCGGTTTCCAGAGGGCCCAGCAGGGGCCCCTCCCCCTCCCAGGGCCCTGGCTGCCGGCTCCCTTGGCATGGAGCCCAGGCCAGGGGCGGGCAGCAGCGGTGTTGGGGGCTCACAGGAAACTTTGACCTCAAACAGAATCCCGGAACCCCGGAAGCTGCAAGAGCGCTGCCCGGGCCGCACTGGGGGGCACGAGCCGCAAACAGCACCACCCTGCTCGGTAAACAACCAGGGTCTTCAGTTTAAAATGAGGTCGAGGGCGCGGCGCTGTGGCGCTGGTTAAGCTGCTGTCTGCAATGGGCACAGGTTCGAGTCCCGGCTGCTGCTCTTCTGCTCCAGCTCCCCGCTAATGGCCTGGGAGAGCAGTGGACAAAGGCCCAAGTGCCTGGGCCCTTGCGCTCATGTGGGAGACCCGGAGGAAGCTCCTGGCTCCGGGCCCAGAAGCTCGTCCCAGAGCAAATCCGAGGGCCCCTGCTCCACCAACCTGCGCCCTGGTATGGGGAGGCACTGGGGTAGCCCAGGAGCTGCAGGCCAGGGCCTGGGGCAGCCCTGTTGAATGCTGCCTTGGGGGTGACCCCCTGGGGCTGCACTGGGCCTGCGGGGCCCCCAGACCCATGGCTGCTGCTGCGGCTGGGATGGCGCCAGTCAGGCGGCCCCACAGGCCCCACGCTTCCCTGTCCCAGCGGCCCCAGCCACGCCCCCTGAGGCCAGAGGAACCCTGGACAAGAGGCAGGGATGCTGGGGTCCCTCTGAAGTGGGAACCTCCTCGTGCGAAGGGGCAGGCAGGCTGGCCCTGAGGTGGCCGGGTTTCTGGGCATGCATCCGCACGACCCCTGCGAGCTGGAGGCCCGGGTCCGGTGTGGGACTGCGGCCACTGGGCTCCACCGTGCGGGCGCTGCCTGCAGGTGTCTCTGCAGGTGCTGGGCCCTCGGGTTGTACCAGGAGGGCAGCAGGGGCTCTGGCCTGCTCTGGACGACGGAGCCCCTGCCCAGCCGGGCGGGGCTGTCGCTGCATTTGGGGAAGGGTCTGCAAATCCATGGAGAGCTTGTCTGACCCCGTGGAGCAGGTGAGGGGAGGGAGCGCTGAGAGCCAATCTGAGGGAACATCCCAGAAGCAGCGGGCAGTGCCCACAGGAGTGGTCCTTGCATGTCAGGGGTGGGGTGGCCTGCTGCCTTTCTGGTTCATTCATTCCCCGAGCCCCTGCCCCTGGCCCACCTGCCGAGGGGGCCGTGTGCCCGGCGGATGGTCCTGCCTCCCACAGGGGCGCTGGTCGGAGTCCCCGCTGCCCCTCTTGGGATCCACGTGGGAGACCAGGGTGGAGCTCCAGGCTCCTGGCGTGGCCTGCTTCAGATCCTGCATCCACTTGTGGAGTGCGCCAGCAGATGGGAGATTCTCGGTCTGCTTTCTCCAGTGAGTAATGAAAATCTTTTTTTTTTTTTTTTTGAAACAATCCTTTACCAGGGCGCCGGTTGCCCATGGGCTTCACTTTCCACTTCGGGGCTCACACGTGGGGGCTGGGCCAGCCTGGGGTGTGGGCTCGGCTGCCTCTCGCGTGTCAGGAGCGGCAGCCGCTCTCCTGTGACCCCAGAGCAACAGGAGTGAGGGCCAGAGCGAGGAAGCGGGACTGCTGCTGGCATCCCACACAACAGCGTATTGTCAGCCGCCTGCCGGGAGGGGGAAGGGCCTCCCTGGCTGCGGGGGGGGGGGGGGGGGGGGGGGGGCCTGGGGCCGCCTCAGCTCCGCCCAGCGGTGGGCGGGTCCTGGGTTGCCAGGAGCAGCAGCCCCGCCCTGTGCCTGGTGCTGTCCAGGGAGCGTTGCCGGAGTGGGAGGGGTGGGGCTGGGGCTCCTAGCTCCCGCTGCCCACTGGGTGCCCACCATTGGACGCTTCCTGGATGCCGCCCCGTGCGGTGGGTGTCCAGGTGGCCAGCGTGGGCACAGTGGGGGCTCCGGGCAGGTTCGGGAGGGAGTGGTCATCTGTCTCCAACTCTCCTCTGGGTTGGAAGACCCCTGCCCAGCAGTGCCTGTGGATGTGAGGCAGCCAGGCCAGCAGGCCATGGCGCCCTCCAGTGATCTGCCTTTGCGTTAATGTTTCAGAATTTGCATTTATTTCCTAAATATTCTGTGTGCAAAACTGCCTTTAGAGAGCAAGAACACAATTTGAAAAGCAGCGAGGGGCCGGCACTGTGGTTCAGCGGGTTACCCTGGCCTGAAGCGTCAGCATCCCATATGGGCGCCGGTTCAAGTCCCGGCTGCTCCTCTTCCGATCCAGCTCTCTGCTA